CCACTCCCTGTCCCTCTCACCTCCTCCGGGGAGCCCTCCCCGTGCCACAGCCCCACTCCCTGTCCCTCTCACCTCCTCCGCGGAGCCCTCCCTGTGCCACAGCCCCACTCCCTGTCCCTCTCACCTCCTCCTCCGGGGAGCCCTCCCCGTGCCACAGCCCCACTCCCTGTCCCTCTCACCTTCTCCAGGAAGGCCTGATTGATGTTCCAGCCCCACCGCTTCCCTCTCACTCCCCTGGGTCCAGCTTTCATGCCTTTTCCTGTTCCTGGTGTGGACCCCTCCCTCTTCCTTTCTCTGTGTCAGCATCAGCCACTACCTCTAGACTCCCACTCGGTCAACATGCCGCGTGCCAGGCACGGGGGTCTGGATCACACACTCACCCACAGTCTACCTCCAAACCCTGCCGCGAGGCTGGGGAATCTGGAAGGTATGGAATCCCCATGACAAGTCAGGAGACCGGGGCTCGGAATCGGGAAGGAGCTTGTCTGGGGCCCCTGGTAGGTCGGCAGGCAGGACTGGAACCTGGCCCTTGCTCCTCAGTGGCCAGCCCTGCTTCGCTGACATCTGTCAAAGCAAGGGCGTGGGGAACGCAGGGTGACATAGGCGCGACGCTCCCTGAGACCCATGTTCTCAGTCGCTGTGTGGGTCCAGAGGAAGTTACCAGCAGACAGGAAGGATTGCGGGTCAGGAGTCCACTCACTTCCTTCTCCTGCGAAGATGCAGAGTCCAGTGCAGGCAGAGGTGGGGCATCAGCTTGGGTGCGGCCAGCGCTCTGCCAGCCTGGGACAGGGACGGGGGTCTCAGGCTGAGTGTCAGGGTGCAGTCCAGGCTCAGGGCATAGCCTAGGGTCATGGCTGACGGTAAGGGCTGGGCGTCACCTCCCTGATGTTTCAGCCGCCACACAGCGACTTTGAGAACATGGGTGTCGGGGTGTCATGCCACTGTGTCACCCCTCAGCCCCCTTGTTCCCATCCCCTTGCTTTTTTTTGAGATGGAGTCTTGCTCTGTTGCCCAGCGCAGTGGCGCAATCGCAGCTCACTGCAACCTCCGCCTCCCGGGTTCAAGTGATTCTCCTGCCTCTGCCTCCCTCAGCTGGGATTACAGGTGTGTGCCACCACCTGTAATTTTTGTATTTTTAGTAGAGACAGGGTTTTGCCATGTTGGCCAGGTTGGTCTCCAACTCCTGACCTCAGGTGATCTGCCTGCTTCTACCTCCCAAAGTGCTGGGATTACAGGCGTGAGCCACCCCTCGAGGCCCATCCTCTTGCTTTGACAGATATCAATGAGGCAGAGCCGGCTGGAGTCAGGAGCTCCAGAGAAGTCTTCCTGGAAGCAGTGAGAGGGATGGGGAAAGGAGGGCGGCCTCCCTGGAGGAGGCGGGTGGGTCTGAAGCACCAGCACAGCTTCTGAGTTGCTAGTGCCTCGCTCTGTGGTCCAGGGTCAGGACTCAGGACTCACAGGGCTGCATGCCTTGCTGGGGCTGAGCCGACCCTGGGCTCTGCTCCTCCAGCGCTGCTGGGCCTCCAGGCGTCTGCCCCCGTCTGTCCTGACCCCAGAGTGTCAGGTTCTCTCTGCTTCCCTGTGAAGCCAGCAGGCAGAGGTGACTGCCTGTTACCAGCGGGGAGACAGGCCTGGAGGGCTAGCATACAGCAGAAGGAGATGTGAATTCCCTCAGTTCATAGGGACAGACTTCAGTTGGGATGTCGGTACTCCCAGTAGAGGGAACAGCCAGTGCAGAGGCATGGAGGTGGGAGCCAGCGGATTGTGGCCATGGGGGAGCTCCTTACTTGGCAGCCAGCCTGACATCCAGGAGTGAGACATGGAGGTGGGAGCCATGGGGCTGTGGCCACGGGGGGGCTCCTTACTTGGCAGCCAGCCTGACATCCAGGAGTGAGGCATAGAGGTGGGAGCCATGGGGCTATGGCCATGGGGGGGCTCCTTACTTGGCAGCCAGCCTGACATCCAGGAGTGAGGCATGGAGGTGGGAGCCATGGGGCTGTGGCCACTGGGGGGGCTCCTTGGCAGCCAGCCTGACATCCAGGAGTGAGGCATGGAGGTGGGAGCCACGGGGCTGTGGCCACGGGGGTGCTCCTTACTTGGCAGCCAGCCTGACATCCAGGAGTGAAGGCTTCTCTGTCCTCTTTTCTCAGGTTTCCAGCAAGGCCACTCAGAAGACCCCCGCTTGACTAAAGCAATGGAGGGCGGCCCAGCTGTCTGCTGCCAGGATCCTCGGGCAGAGCTGGTAGAACGGGTAGCAGCCATTGATGTGGCCCACTTGGAAGAAGCAGATGGTGGCCCAGAGCCCACTAGAAACGGTGTGGACCCTCCACCACGGGCCAGAGCCGCCTCTGTCATCCCTGGCAGTGCTTCAAGACTGCTCCCCGCCCGGCCTAGCCTCTCCGCTCGGAAGCTTTCCCTGCAGGAGCGGCCAGCAGGAAGCTGTCTGGGGGCACAGGCTGGGCCTTATGCCACGGGGCCTGCCAGCCACATCTCCCCACGGGCCTGGCGGAGGCCCACCATCGAGTCCCACCACGTGGCCATCTCAGATGCAGAGGTTGGTGGCAGAGCCCCTCAGTAGACTGCAGTGAAAACTCTTTTCTGTCCCTATCTGTGTCACACAGCTATCTAGCTTTGGTTTGCATACCCTCAGAGCTGGGAAGATCACTACCTAATAATGCAGCCTCTTCCCACCCAGGGGAGCTCCAGCTGAGCCAAAGGTTGCCATTCCCACCCCCAGCCCAGGCCTAGGACAGAGGTCTCTCCCTTGTCCCCTGTGTCATCCTCTTAGAGGTCTGAAGATAGATACCATGTCCTGCCTGCTTCCTCGCTCTTCCCCAGCTTGCCCTCCTCACCTCTAACTCTGCCTTAGAATCCGCTCTGACTCAGAAGTGGCCTACCTGCCCCCGCCTCTGGCTTCCTCTGAAGTTCTTGGCACTTAGGTCTGAAAGTGAACTCGGGTTCTAAGCAGGTCTACAGAGCTGGCCTCCGTCAGGGGCTAAGCTTTCTGTGCCTGAACCCAGCCTCTCGGCCTCTGCCCAGGGCTTCTCATCTTGTTTTTGGAGTCTAGACTTTCTTATTCAGCTGCTTCTGGAAATAGTAGCTCATGGGTTTCTCATGGAATGGGGTCTCCCAGACTCCAGAAGCCGGATGGGAATTGCTGCGTTTTCCTGTCATATGTTCAAACATGAGCCACGTCTTCTCATCACATACGGGGGTGATGGCACCACTGACTTCCCCATCCTGACTCAGAAGCTTGGTGTGACCTGGGGGTCTGGGAATGAGGGGCCTGTGGCCAGGATTGGGCACTGGATGGGCTCTGAGGTAGGAGCAGGGCTGCTTCTGGATCCAGCTTGACCTGATGCTTACTCTTCCCCCCACAGGACTGTGTTCAGCTGAACCAGTACAAGCTGCAGAGTGAGATTGGCAAGGTAGGACGGGGCAGGCCGGAAGCAGTGTGGGCTCGGCACCGGCCCTTCTTCTGTGTGGGAGGGAATGGGAGGCAGAGCCAGGCAGGTCCTAGCCTGGGGGTGAGGACAGTGTCGTGCCCTGTGGGAGGTACCCAGGTACCCAGGGGGAGGGTGGAAGATGACTCCTGAGTCCCGACTCCTCAGAGCTCTTGAGAGTTGACAAGGAGGGACTGAGGGAGGAATGGAGCCATGTCAAGCCAAGCAGGGGCAGTTAGCGGGGCACAGGAGTCCCCTCCTTCTGCTACAATATATGCCCATGAGCCAGCTGGTGGTGAGAGGTGCACATGGGGAGCAGGAGAGACCGGAGCTGCTCAGGCTCCCCACTTCCCGAGCTGGTCCTGGGAGGGATTGCCTGTCCAGGTGGGGCTGACCGATGCCTGTCTGCAGGGCGCCTATGGTGTGGTGAGGCTGGCCTACAATGAAAGTGAAGACAGACACTACGTGAGTCTGGGGATAAGAGGGAGGCGTTGCCCAAGCCGGGCCCTAGAAGCCTGAGGGGTGGGTCAGGAGTGTGCGCAGGAGAGAGCAGACAGGGCTGCCCAGGAGTGAGCTCCCTGTCCTTAGGGGCATGCAAAGGAATGAGCTTCCCAACCCTGGGGATATCCAAGCAGAGGCTGGATTCCTCCTAGGAGAAAGCTCCAGAAAGGCTTGCTGGGGGAGAAAGGGGAAGGCCCAGACATAGCTATGGCCATCCCCAAAACCCACGTGACGCATGCTGGGCCACACTCTCAGGGCTGCGGCAGATGCCCAGTCAGTGTGCGTCTCTGGACCTCAGTCCACAAGTCCTGGCCTGTTCTAGCCCCTGGTGGCTGCACACACTAGTGACGGTTCTTTTTTTTTTTTTAACACCGAGTCTCACTCTGTCACCAGGCTGGAGTGCAATGGCGTGATCTCAGCTCACCGAAACCTCCGCCTTCTGGGTTCAAGTGATTCTCCTACCTCAGCCTCCCAAGTAGCTGGTATTACAGGCTAATTTTTTGTATTTTTAGTAGAGACGGGGTTTCTCCATGTTGGTCAGGCTGGTCTCGAACTCCTGACCTCAGGTGATCCGCCCGCCTTGGCCTCCCACAGTGCTGGGATTACAGGCGCGAGCCCCCGGGCCTGGCCCACTAGTGACATTTCTGTCCCTCCTTCCTTAGGCAATGAAAGTCCTTTCCAAAAAGAAGTTACTGAAGCAATATGGCTTTCCACGTACGTATCTTCTGGTCTGCTCCTGGGAGCTCCGAGCCTTAGTGGCAGAGGAAGAGAAGACCTCAGTCCCGAGCTAGTTTTGGCTGGGGATGGGGTAGAGAGGGAGACAGCCCGGGCAAAGGCTGGGGGCGGGAATGTGCTTGGGGGTTGGGACAAGACACAAGACCGTGGTCCATACAGACTCTTGCTGGAGGCTGGCTTTGGGCCACAGTGAGGCCGAGCCGTCTGGAGCAGGTGCTTGAGTTCCCTCCCTGGTCACAGGTCGCCCTCCCCCAAGAGGGTCCCAGGCTGCCCAGGGAGGACCTGCCAAGCAGCTGCTGCCCCTGGAGCGGGTGTACCAGGAGATTGCCATCCTGAAGAAGCTGGACCACGTGAATGTAGTCAAACTGATCGAGGTAGGGGGTGGTGGTGAGCCGGTAGGGGGCGGTGATGAGCCGGTGGGAGCTGGCGCCTGAGTCTCACTTCTGGGGCTGGGGAGCCCTACCACAGACCCAGGGGTCTTGCCAAAGAAGCAGATGTGGCTGAGGCTTCTGAGGACAGGGCCAGTCTTGGGGTAGGGCTGCAGGGAGGCTTTGGGGGTCCAGCCTGGTCAGGGGTGTTCCCCTGTTCCCACGGAGGGTGAGGGGCTGCCCCAGAGGCAAGAAGTGAGCACCTCGATGCAGCAGGAGGGGAGAAGGTCTGGATGCCAGGCTGGGGGCCAGTGATTTCTGAGGCTCCATCCGTCTGGCACCGGTAAACTGCTGCTCCATTCATTGCCTGGGATGGTTGCAGTGGATACTGAGGGTTCTGGGGCTGGCCTGGGGCCCCAACCCCATGCCTCCTCAAGTCCCCCCCCACCATGTCTGCTCCCTCTGACCAGGTCCTGGATGACCCAGCTGAGGACAATCTCTATTTGGGTGAGTAACCCAGCTCATTCCCACAGCAGCTAACCCCGGGCTGGTCCAAGGGCTCCCTTGGGACACACATGACCTTCAGGTGGGCGATGTGAAGGCACTGACCTGGGAACAGAAGAGAAACACGCGTACTGAAGCCCCAGTGTCCCTTGCCCAGCCCTGCGGAACCAGGCCCAGAATACCCAGTTAGACGCAGCAGATATTCCCAAGCCCCACTCCCTGCGTCCCTCTGAGCAGCAAGACAGGGGATGCATTTGGGCTCTGCACTCAGGTAGAGGCAGAAAGCAGGCTGTACAGGTTCTCAGATGCTGTAGCTCCATGCCTCAGTTTCCTCACCTGTAAAACGGGTACGAATGGTATCTACTTCATAGGGTTGATGTGAGGAGTATATGAGTAACGATATGTAAAGCACATTCGTTATTTGCCTTGTTAAGAGTGATGTTATTATTTTAGTTCCTTGCATCTGCTTCGGGGCTGGGCTTAGAGGAGGCCTCAGAAAATGGGGCAGAAGAAGAACTGGCTTAGGAATTAGAGGCCGAGGCTTTATTCTCCTCTCTACCCTGCCTGCCTGTCTCCTATGACCTTTAGGAAAACTTCTGCCCCTTCTCTGTGCCTCAGTTTCCCCTTCTGTAAAAGGGCCCGAGCTTCTGCTGCCGGCTCCTTCCTGGCACCTGGCGATCAGATGAGGCAGGTCCATAGCAGGTCCCGCTCTCGTCCATTTATTTGCTCTGATATCCCAGGACTCCCGGTCCAGTCCCTGCCTCAAGCACGCCTGCATGCCTGCCCCCTCCTACCCTCCAGAACAGGGAGGGACCTCAGCGTCGGCTGCTTTGCCAGCCAGCTACACCTTACCTTCTTGTCTTTTCTTTCAGTGTTTGACCTCCTGAGAAAGGGGTGAGTTCCCCGTCCTGATCAGGCAGGTCAATTCTCATCCAGGCCTTCCTTCCTTTCCCTCCCTGTGTCCCCAGCCCAAGGGTCAGCTACCCCAGGAGAAATCAGAGACGGAGGCCCTGCCCTTGGGGGTAAATAAGAGAGCAAGAAGATGGGAGTCAGTGAGGCTGAAATAGTCAGGGAGGCCTCTGGAAGAGGGGATGAGTTTTTTAACCAGGCCTTCAAGAACTGGGAAGATATGGAGAGAGGAAAAGGGAAGAAAGGCATGGTTTTTAAGTAAAAGTAGAGAGGTGGGACTCAACTCTTACCTGTATTCAGATCACAAAGGGTTTTTCAGCTTTGCACAAGCCTGTGAATGGAATGGGTGGGATTCCATTTGCTCCCATTTACGAGAGGGAAAGCTGAGGACCAGAGAAGGTACGTGGCTTGCTCACGGTCACACAGCAAGTCACGGATGGAGCCTAGGGTTCCACATGTCTGCACTGTGTGGCTTTCCAGGGTATTTAGAGCGGATGACATGGATTAGTGAGCTCGGGACTGAGTGGACCAGGATCCTCACTGCCAAGGCCTGAATGCAGGCTGTGGCTTGGCGCTCTGCCTGGCAGCTTCCCACAGGCCAATTTGGGTAGAGGGGCAGGGAGTGATGTCCCTTTAAGACTTGGAGGCTTTCCAATGTTTTGACCTCTATCCAAAACAAGAAATGTATATTTATACTGCTATCCATTTCTGTAACTGAAACCAAAGTTTTACAAAACAGCATATATCTTTGCTACATGTGATATATTCTGATATATTCTATTTCTTTTTTTTTTTTTTTTGGGGGCGGAGTTTCACTCTTGTTACCCAGGCTGGAGTTCAATGGCGCGATCTCGCTCACCACAACCTCCGCCTCCCGGGTTCAGGCAATTCTCCTGCC